AGTTGGTCTCTGCTTCATTGTCGTTAGATGTGCTGCCTGCGTCTGACGATGATCTTTAAGGCCTGCTGCCCTTTGTCTGATTGCTTTGAGTGGTTGCCATCCTTTGGGGGCTTGGTGGGATCCGGGAATACACCTTCTTGAGTGTCTGCTCTGTTTTTTTTGTTTGTTCCTGTGGTCTGTCTGTGTTGTCAGATTCCTCTGGCAATACCATACTTGCGGTGCATCCCGTGCGCAGGGTGGCGGCACATGCAGTGCAGAGCGCACGTGCATGCACACTCGCCACATCACAAAAAAATAAAAATAAAAAAATTGAAAGGACAGGGTGGAGTGGCCAAACATGCCCCTCGCTTCTAAAAATCAGAAAGCAAGAGGGAAAAAAGTCGGGGCCACGCCATACCCCACAACTGTGGATACATGTCTGTGCATGTGGGTGTGCATGTCCTCATTGTGTCCAGTCTCTTTTCCGAAGGGCCCCTACAGCAGATCAGTGAGGACCCCATGTGGAGCAGAGATAGACTTTAGACTTCCAGTTTGTATGCGTGGGCCGAGAATATATTAGTCTGGATTTGAATTCAGGTCTGTGCATCACGGTTATGGGTCACTAATTCTCTTTTTTCTCGCTTTTCTTTTCTTAGGAATACATGCAGTGGCCCTTAGGGCCTCTACTCACCACATGCACAAAAGACAAACCATATGGCGGCATATCATTCCACGTTCTAGCAAAAGATTCATTCTAATTTTGCACATTTGGTGAGTGGTGCAGCCAAGCCCTGAGAATCATGTGCAGAGACCGACAGTGCCTACCTAAGCGAGTAACCCATAACTGCTGAAACACAGACCTGAATTTGAATCCTGAGTATATATTCGGCCAGCTCGCGCTCCACTTCATATTCACTGCCTGCCTCGATTTTGGTGGAGGGTCTGCGCCATGGCTACGATCCGGACATCCGGACCGCCGTCCAGACGGTCCGGATTCAGTCCGGACTCCAGACGTCCGGTCTGGAAGGTCCGGATCTGCCAAAATTCGAGGGAAAAAAAAAAAAAAAAGGTCCAGGACCCTTCCCCATTGAGGAGCCAAGCCCCCAAAATTGTTTTGGGTTTTTTTCAGGCCCGTTTATGCTTTTTTGGGGGGTCCGGACATGCTCTCTCTCTATAATAATTTATTAGACACCCCGAATTTTTTAATTATTAATAATTCATTACCTTTTAATAGGCTTTATTAGTTTTTGAAGACTTTTTTAAAGCTTTTTTTATAGTTTTTGACTTGTAACTCAAGTTTGGTTAGGAATTCTGACATGACTCTGAGGCAAAAGTGGTTTGCATTGTTATTCTGCATAGCATACTTTTTTTTCAGATTTTTTTTTTTTTTTTTTTTAATGGTCCGGACATTTCCGGACCTGTCCAGACATCCGGACCGTCCGGATCCCCCCATGTCCGGTGGTCCAGAAATGTCCGGAATTCCGGACGTCCGGAAACTACCGGACACGGGTTTGGTTCCATGTCCGGAAATGTCCGGGTCCTCGTCCGGCATAGCCATGGTCTGCGCTAAATTGCTGTGAGGACCCTTCAGAATACCTGCATCGGGCCTCTGATACGTGTGAAGGGGATCCGTTGGTCTCTCTCTCTCTCTCTCTCTCTCTCTCTCTCTCTCTCTCTCTCTCTCTCTCTCTCTCNCTCTCTCTCTCTCTCTCTCTCTCTCTCTCTCTCTCTCTCTCTCTCTCTCTCTCTCTCTCTCTCTCTCTCTCTCTCTCTCTATCTCTCTCTCTCTTCACCCCTTGTATACATGTTATGTACCCGGTTGAACTTCCATCCACAACGGATTCACACGTTCCCATACAGGCATGCAATTGCAGGGTAGACTCGAAGGAGGCAAATCCACACAAAACCGGAGGGGAGATTTGCGCAGCAGAAGCTAAAAATACACAGAGAATTGAAAAACGAATTTCAATTCTGCAATCCGTCGTCCTCCTCCAGTCAATCCAGAGTACTTGTTCCAAGAATCCCAACCACGTTATCAACACCCACGAACCAATTATTTACAATATTTCATCGGAGTATCCGGGAGTCTTCTTCTTCCTCCCTCTTCCTCAAGCTCTAGCTATGGTCCCTACGGGCACGCAACCTATCAAGCCTGCCAATCGCCACACACCCTCCTCAGTCCAATACCCCTCTCTGCATCACTCAAGAAGCCCACTGCAGATGAAGTGTCCACTCAGCAGGGGAGCACAGCTCCCAGGATGATGAAGAAGAACAACAACTCGATGAAGATGAAGGTCTGCCACGTCGAAGAAGAACCGCTACAAGTGCAGCTTGGTGGCAGCTGACCAAACCCCAACAGACAACAAGCAGGATGGGCCTCACAGAGTCGGGCCTGATACCCGGGCCATATCTGCACGAGCCAGGTAAGCCCCGGTAGCACCAGCCATGACCGCCCACTTCCTTTCTTCGAAGAAGAGGACCGAGCGCTAAAATTAGCGCTGCTTCAGGGTCGGCCTCCCGCAGCACTTGACCAAAACAGAACCGAGATTCCTCAGTCCCTGCCTACTTCTAGCCGACTTCCCTCGGCCTCCCACACAGCAGCTACCGATACCCTATCTGACCGTCCGAACAGCAAACATCTACGACCTAGTAGTCAAGATCGGCCTAACTACATCTATATGGAATTGTGAGCTAAGGACAAAACAACGACGCTGAAAGGCCTAAGACTGAGAAGTAGGGACTACTAGCGACAAGGTTAAGGTTCAAGCCCAACAAGTCTTGAAATCAAGGAAACAACAAACACAATTAATATACACACAGACAAATAAACACACTCAACTCCAGTCACGGGATTGAATCCCGGAAAGCGCAAAACAGGCAGCAGCGAATTAGTGTACAGCCCCCACTTTGCTGCAATTTATTGCATTCCTACCCTTCGAGGGAGCGAGGACCCCGAGCTCGGAATGTCCACGAGGAGGACTTTTGAGAGGCCACAAGGACAACGTTTGAGAGGTTGCCTGTTACATACTTCAATGAGTATGGGCAGAACCAAAGATCAGCCAATGTAGGATGAGCATATATGCAGCGGAAGTCTGATAAACGGACTGACTCACATAGATATCACTCGACACACATACAATCGTGAGATGGTGGGGTCTGAGCCATACATGGACGATGCTCAGCCCCGTACACACATGCACAGATGAAGGTGGGAGGAGAGACGAAGGAGGTGGGAGATGTAGGTAGCACCAAATGTCACCGAGATAGAAACCAGTAGGTCACCGATATGGTAATCCGAAATGCCATCGAACAAGATCAAAATGTCGAGGACAATAAGTCACCAATGTCGGAGATACAGAGTCCTAATGTAACCGGTGTCAAATCTGTGATGCAGCCGAGTATCATCCCCAACAATCTCCAAGTCTCGAACCCAGTAAGTACTACAGCCTCTTACCACCGAAGTCCAACTCTGATCTCTGTCCAACTAGTATAAGTCTCCAGTCTGAAGAAGAAGAAGAAGAAGAAGTCTGAAGAGAAGAAGAAGAAGAAGAAGAAGAAGAAAAGAGCCGAGGAGGAGAGAGAGAGAGAGGGGACTGGCGATGGGAGGGAGGAGAGAACCTCCGACTCCCGATACCTCAGGCGACAATGGCGGCCGATCCTGCTCAGTCGCCGCTGCTGCTACTCTGCTCGCTGCCGCTGCTGCGCTACCACTGCCGCTGCCGCTCCTCGTGCTCCTGCGCTAAGTATAGCGCCAGCGCTGTCGCCCGTTAGAGTGCCGGTGGGTCGATGGCCTGAATGAGGCCGGACCGGTACTTTTGTACCGGTGGGGCAGAGGCCGGCCTCAATGCTGCGAGGCCTGGCCGTGCCCTGAACCGTCAAGATGGACGGTTCAGCCCCAACCGGCGGGCG